CCAATGGGGACAGAACAAAATGAAAATTTATTCGAAGTAGCGAGCCTAACATGAAACCAATGGGAAAAAATGAGCAAGCCACATGAGGAATTGAACAATTGAATACTGTTCTGTCACCTCCTGTGTCATCACTTGAGATGCAAATTTGAACTCAAAACTAACAAAATTCGGTAGTGATAGCAGTAAAGAAAACATTCCGGTTTATCATTTGAGCCTTTGTTACGTAATCTCTATCTTAAGTTGTGAGTAAAGCAATGCTAATTAGGCCACATATATCACTTCTGTAGCCAAGAAATTGTTACCATAGGCTCTCTGCCTACCACGGACAAATTTCAAATCTTTTTACGTCAGCTACTGAAGACCGTAAAGGAGTTGCTAACATCCAATTTGACCGGTGCTCGCAGAACCCGTCAGGCCACGCACGGATCCGCGTCACACCACACGTGTGCTGGCGACACACAAGGCGATTCGATTCCGGATTGGATGACAATGACCAATGGGAATATCAAGGACGCGATCTGATTGGTGCGTCACCACGTCGTTCCCGTAGACCCAATTTACCCAGTTGTATTTGCACATCGCGTCATGTTCAAAGAATACGCTCTGTTATTCTCCGCTCGTGTTCTCTCCCGTATGATAGTTGGGAGCCGGGCAACAGGCGCTGGTATCGGTCGTATATCTAACCAGAACATAACGTCCCGCATCAGTAGTTTGACTATTTTGTAATGAACAATCGGATAAAGGGTGTCTATTGCTTCATCACTGCAGATTAAAGCCGAAAAATATGTAATTTATTAGTTCGGGTCAAATGGATTGCATATGACACGTCTAATTCCATATTTCAAATACGTATCATTCTGTGTAAATTTGAACTCCAATTTACACAACCTTCTTGTAATAATCATGATTAAAAGCCCTATTTATTTATCAAATAAATGATCGAGGACACAATGTAGGCTAAAATATGTTTTCGATGAATTCCTTTTCAAGCCTTTACAATCATATTTAAATGAAACAATTTCAATACGGTCAAATAGATAATTGAATGATTCATGTGTTTGGCAATGAGCCCAAGAGAACTAAAAATTTGTGCGCAGTTTGGATCACATAACTAAAGCGGTTACGTCACGGTGTTACGTCATGGTCGTGTGAACAAGCGAGTTTCTCTTCCCTTGGTCAGGGGAGTTTGAGAGCTTGAATCAATTTGCATCGTGCGTGCAGCTGAGGCTTCGTGAGTCAGATGCTAATCGCCTCCGCGGTTGCTAGCGTCCGAAACCGTATTGCTCTCGAGGATGTGGTTATACTCGATAAATGATTTTAAAAACCGAGGGCATGTCAACCAAGTGTCCTGTCTCTACCATGAAGTAAAGATTGTGGTTATGTGATCCAAACCGCCCACACATTTGGCGTTCTCTTAGGCTCATTGCCAAACATATGAGTCATCCACCGTTCTGTTTGACCGAATTGAAATTGTTTCATATAAATATGATTGTAAAGACTAGAAAAGGAATTCACCGAACACATATTTTCGCCTGCATTGTGTTCTTAATCAATGGGCATATTCCGAGATTTGAAGCATATGATACTCCGCCACTAGAAGCTTACCCATGGAAATACAGAAATCGGGGATATGAAGGGAACGGGGAGGTTACAACCTCCGGTCCACTGTAACGAATTGCTTAACCACACCATTTATATAGTCGTTCACGATTTGTGATCTCGTGCACGCGGTTTACTTCTGGGTATTGAGAAGTCTAAGCCTTATGGTTTACATGACTAGCGTGATACAAATTTTCCTTATTCCTGATAGGAAAGTTTTAGGCTGCGGATTGGGGACAGAAAACTTTGCATGTTTTTGAGTTGCACTGTCAAACTCACGATCCCGAATGAAGTGAGTCTTTTGCATTCGGTATATTTTTGCTTCTAGTCCCGTATTTCTGATCGTCCCACAAATGTAATGTCTGGACTGATTTCAGCGAAAGAATGAGGCTGAGAATAATTATATGACTGTATTGAGATCCAGACCGTTTTCTTAAGTGACAAGTATTCGTTATGTGCGATGGATGAAAAGCAATCGGCACAGACAACAGAAAAAAAAACAATTAGCTTGATCACAGCGTGATCACTTACCGAGGGATATAAATGAATAAATAAATGGTTCCTTGCAATTGGTGCAACGATTCCCGGCACTGCTCACTAGTGGGTTGGTTGTCGAGCATCGATAGCACATAACATGAATGTCCTTAATGGAAAGCGGGATAGAGCAATAGGGAGACGGAGAGAACGTATATACCCATTAGCTACAAGTCCACAATCCGTCTACAGAGATAGTTCGAAAAAATTAGACAAATTACCATGTGTGATAAAATAAACATCAATTAATCATGCAAGTCGACTAGGTAGATACAGTTGTACGCTTTTATTCCATCAAATTAGATTCATATGATGAATTTGTGGTGTGAATGAGGAGTGAGGTGAAAACCCACGAAGCACTGGTTGGGCCTCATCAGCAGTGTGAATCTAAACTGGGGATCGAACCTGGTACCTCACACGTAGAACAGAAGCACACTACCCACTCGGCCACCGGGTAACTGATCAAATCGTTTCTCACTCTGAATATACACGATAAAAACACTCCATCTTCACGATCTTGTTGC